AGGTAGATAGGTAGATAAATGGGTGGGCAAATGCAATGAAAATATTAAGTAGTAAACGAGGGAGGCTATACAATTTATGGTTCTAGGTTGGTGTTTTGCGGCGAAGAAAACTCACGTAGTAAAATTTTAATCCGAATTGGTATAGAACGCTATTTTAAAATACAACAAATATGGGATTAAACCTGACTATTTTGAAACAAAAAAATCATTTTTATTGTACATCATTTCGTCACCCAATGTGTATATACCGATTTATCCTTCCCATCAAATTATGACTGAGGTATTAAAAATATTTAGCTTTTCATTGAGCTTGATGAGAAAATAATTGCAGGTTGTAATTCCCGAACATTCATTGATTAATTTTTATTTTTGTTTATAAAACAAGTTTTCCAATTTAAAAATAATATTCACAATAACAACAAAACAAACAGCTGTTGGGAGCAGTAAAATTTTTCCATACGACACCTGTTGATGTGTGATTTTATATTTTTAACTGGTTTAATTCGGTTAAACTATATAAACATCATTTGCGATTTGTGTAAATAAAATCGTTAAAATTTTATTTAATCCTCAAAATTATTAATATTTGGGTTATTAGGCAGAATATTTAAATTTAAACCAAACGGATGCCCTTAAGTTGCTGTTTTCCCACATGAAACGACATGCATCTGAATGGACTTCAAGAAGATCAAGTCAAACTATATTTAGAACTTGGAAAATCTGAATTTTCTTACCATGCTCACATTATGACCCCTCGTTAACAATTGCATTTTTTCGGGTAGGCAATTTAAAATGAGATTTTTCTAGTTATGACCACTTGCGTAATTGCAGTTTTTTATGACAATGTCATAAACAAATTTAATTGTTGACATTTGTCTTTGAGCCTACAGTCGAAGACAAATGTCAAGAAAATGCAATAAATTTTGTGTTTGTCATTAAATTTTTCTAGGAAAATAGGTCTCATGTAAAAATTACCTAACAGAGTACATTCATCAACTGTAGGAAAATTAACTTTCCCGCATTGTTTTATCATTTTTTTTGAAAATAATTGATGATCATTAAAGGCAAGCTAGAGAGAACTATTGAAATCCTATAGTCAACGATTTTATAAGCCGAAGCTAAAGTTTGATTCCAACAGAAATAAGATTTCGTGAATAGAAAATAATTAAAAATTCGGCATATAGAGCGGACCAAAGTACTTAAACTGGAACAAATTCTGAACTTTGATATTGAGGTCCTCTGTTGGTATCTGAAATTGAGATATTGAGGTGGCTTTGGAAATGTGTGCTATAATTGTTCGAAAAGTACTAAATGGTACTAATTTTGGATCGCTGTGAGGGATGTAGATTGTTTTGGATATGCGTAATAAATAGTAATAAATTTGTTATTGGCTGAAGGGATTGAGCTGAGGTTACTTCGATGAAGCACGTTTTGGCAGCATAATTTGATTAAAAAAATAAGACTAAGGAAATAATGAAGGCTACCGTTATTTGAGTGAAATGTCAGAATCTTGAATCCATTAAGTCAGCAACTCATACAGTTGGAAAACATTGCTAGGACCTATAATATATTATTCCAAACTTTGTACCTGGACTCTATATTCTTAGACTCTTGGTCTGAAAACTGTGACTGAAACTCTAAATACAACAATCGGAACGGTGATATACACCTTCTATACGCGGGAGCTGACATTTATTTACAAAATGCCAAATTACTGTCGAAATTGTGACTAAGGCCCCGGAATTTAAATGGTTCTATACCAAAGACTGGATTTAAATTCCAAGTTTTCTGCACGGAGAATTTATATCCTCAAAATGACAGCTCAGTTGTTTGTTAATTAACATGCGCAGCCATCAAAATGCTTCAAAGCGTAAAGTGAATGACTTTGAAATTGGAAACTTATTTGTGGGCCATACCAAGAAACGGTCCCATGTTAAACAAGTAAAAAAAGCTGTTTGGTCTGCATATCCTTTTTAATTACCTTCACCATTTGGAGGGACGGTGGAAATTAAAAAAAAATTCGTCGAAATTGATATGAAGGCTGTAGTACCGATTCCAAACTTAAAAAACAAAATTTTAAACAATTCCGGCGAATGATGTCGCTAATATCATCAAAATACCGAATATCGATAGATACCGTAATATGTGGACTATACGAAGACGTGGACTTGCATACATTTTTCTGTCATATTTAGTAGTACCTACTGCGAACTTCAAATACGAAATTTAGAACAATTCAGGTGAATAACCTCGTTATAATCATCAAAATATCGAATTTGGGGGTATCCTTATGTGGCGGGTATACGAAGATGTGGACCTGCATACAAAATTTTTTGTCATAGGCTGAAATTTACAAAAATTCTCTAAAATCCATAGAATGGTGGTGGGTATAATAAAAAATTACAAGGAAACTCTCAAAATGAACAGTGACCTCAATTATAGACTCCGCTCTGGTTATGTACAAAACCTGGATTAGGAATGTCAATGTAAATCGGTTTTCTTCTTGTGTTTATATGATATCTTCCAGCCAAGATAATTGATGTCGGCAGCATATTTTGGTTTTCAGATAGCTTCACTTCAAATCGTCTGCTACATATATAGGAGTTATATCTGAATCTATTTTCGACAAATGTACTTCTATGCTGAATTCTGCTTCATATGTTGTCATTAGGTCTTATATTATGTATGTGGTGCACAATAAACGTAAAATCGGTTGAAGATGTATGCAGGAGATTCACCTAAATCTAAGAACGAATCTTATACAATTTGGTGATAAATTGTATAAGATTCGTTCTTGGTCCTAACAGAAACATTTCATGTCAATCGAACAATAAATGTCAGGTCGCATTTTCCTGCAAGAAGACATTAATAGACAGACGGACGGACAGGCATAGATAGGCTCAGAATTTGAATATATGGAGATCATGGAAAGGAAATATAGATTTATCTCGGTTTCATTTGCATGTTATAAACAAACAAATATAATACCCTGGTTCAAAGTTCAATTCCGTTAAATTTATAATATTTTTAATATGGGGCCCCTTACGAATATTTTGCGATTTGAAATTTAATATATCATTCTCTCAAGGTGGAGGGTCATGTATGGAATATACACATTTGGACTACATTTATGTTGTAACAAATTATCATTTTGGAAGTATCTAGGATTTTATAGCTCTACCTTACTATGGAGGGTAAAATTCTAAGTCGATTTAGCGGTATCCGTCTGTCTGTTGTAATCACGCTATCTTTCGAACGAATTGAGAAAGAAGGCAAAAATTGCACACATGTGGATTTTGTCAGCAGGCAGGTTAAGTACGAAAATGAGGCAAGTCGGTCCACATTTTCGTATAGCCCCCATCTAACGATACCTCTAAATATTCGGTGTTTTGGTGATTTTTGGGGTATTTTAGACAGGAATCGTTTCAAATGTTGTATCTGAAGTTCGGAATCGGAACTACAGCCAATGACAAAAAATACTTATACGGGACCTCGTCTTCGTATATCCTCCATATATCGGTTTTATTTTAAGCGGTATTTTTCGACGATTTTTTTTAACATTTTAAAGTTCACTTCGAATTGTGGAGGGTATGGAAAGTTTGAACTATAAGAACCTGTCAAGGAATTCAAATTATTTTTTTTTTCACAACACTCCCATATTTATTCCTTTACCCGAACAAGACATTTGAAATGTCAAAATATAATCTCAACAAATATGACAACACACACACCATCATGGTAGTTCGCTCAAAATGGATACGTAAGGATATGTATAATAAAAAGGAGATGTAATAAAACATGCGAAAGGAGAAACCCAAGAGAATATGAATAATAGCAACAACAACAACAACCAAAACATATGTATAAAGCAAAATTTTGGGGGGACAAGCTTAAAACACAACACAAAAGGAGAACAACAACGCAAGTGGGCTACGATGGAACCGGTTGTGGAGAAAAGGGCGGGGGACTTTTTGTAATTTTTCACTTGGAAACTGTGTGAATTGCACTTTCAACTTGTATTGCTGTTATGCTGCTTGATTGGCTGGCTGGTTGACTATTTAGCAGGCTGATGCATGGGGGCCAATTGTCATGCCATATGAATCATCATCATCAACAGCGGACCAGGGTAATTAAATTACAATTCAACAAAAGAAGAAAAAAAAAACCGAACAAAGATCAAATTTCACATTGGGTTTGGAGTACATTTTCTTGCATGGAATTCAATTGAGAATTATTGATTTGGGATGTGGTCGAATGGAGTATTTACTCTTTGATAGGTCTCAGATACAACTTTTGTGTATTTCTTGGATTAAACTAAGCTTTAAACAAATCCCAAAAAATTGTTTGTATCTTTCCATGGTTTTTGTTGTTGTAAACCAGATGTAAACACTTGAAGCACAACAACAGCAAACTATGCTGCCGCTTTTATTAGGGGTTTGTTTCCACAGAGTGCCAAAAAGAGACGGCTATAGGGAAACACCGAACGGGCAATGACACATTAAACAACCACTTTTTGCGCGTTAGAGTAGTCAAACTAAACATGGGGATTTTTATCGAATTTATGCCAAACAAAAAAGGATCAGGACCGGCCTGCCCAACTGCCTGGCTATTCCAGCTTAAAAATTGAGCATTTCGAAAATTAAATTGAATCATAAGCCGGAACATTTTGCAGGATGACATTTCCACCGATGACAGCTTTGTGGCCTTTTAGATGTTGGATTTATTGATTTGTTGCAAGTTCGTTGATACAGCAGCAGCAAAAACAACAACAACGGCAGTACTTGCTGTGCCGTAACGATGATAAACGAAAGACCGAAGGAAAACAAGGAGCTACACAAAAACGACTTCACGAACAGATACTTAAAAATGCGGCACTGCCTCAATTTTTTCGGCCATTAAATTTTCTTTTCGAATTCCAAATTTTAATTCTGCATTTCAATTCCTCGCGAAAGATTAACACATTTTCATTTCACACACTTTTCTTTTCACTTCGAACATACATTTTCTGTTTTTAGGTATCCCTTCTCATCATCACCATCATTTTTTTACTTTTTTGTTCATTTCCTTTAATTGGAAATGCACAGCATAAAATTTTTCACAAAATTTTCACCAAACGAACGAACGAAGGGCACAACACACAGTCTCAATGGATTTTTCACTGGTCCCGTTTAGAACATGTTTCGCAGTTTTTTCCCGTTTCACTCGATTAGAATTTTATTGAAATAATTTTCAAGAATTTGTCGTTTATTTCTGTCATAAATTGCCACTACTTCTGACTTAATTCGAATCGATTCGATACTTTTTTTGTCTTTCATCCATCCATTGCTTTGTGTCAGATATTTTATTTTTACTCTTCTCCTGGTTTTTCACATTCGCTCACTCGCGGGCTCTCTCTCTCACTCAGGTTTACTTACGCTCCCCGTATGTGTTTGCCGTGGTGTGTCGTGTTGTGTACTATTGCAGCGAATTTATTTTCGGTGTTGATTCTCATTTGCTTGGGTTGCTGCTTCTTCTTGCTTTATGTTGTGTGTGTGTTTGTTTTGTTGTTGTTTGGCTGAGAGTTTTTGGCAGGGCTGCTGCGGTGCGGTGTGCCATTGAACAGTGTTGTATTTTTTACATATATCCATTGGACGAAACTCTCACACCTTATTGTGTTGCATATCCAGCTACCTACTTTCAATTATTTCTACCTTTTCTCTTTCTTTATCAGCTCTCCGCCACACACTTTATCGCTTGCCGTTTCAAAAATTCAACCTTAAATGACAACTAAAACCTGTCACGGCGAATTCACAAAGTATCTGTGTGTGTTGCACAGCATGTGAGTGTGTGTGTAACATATTTTTTTGTTTTGTTACTCTGCTTCTCTTCTTATCGGGGGTTTGTGTTTCTCGCTCATTTGCTTTGTTCGATTGTTCTGCATTGAACGAACGAATCTAGGTAAATGACAACAAAGAATTTCAACGCAAAACGTAACGAACGATAACACGTGAAGCTGTGTTCAGTGAACATAAACAATGTTTTTCGGGGTGTATCTTGTGGATACAATTTGAAAATTGGCGATTATTTTCAAAGATACAAATATGAGAAAATATGAAAATGCGAGTAGATTTTAAGAAAATCAAGGATATTATCCGGGGACTTGTCAATAAGAATGTATTTAAATGAGACAGTGATGTTCTGTCAATTTTATTAAATATTGTAGGAGGCTCCTTAAATGAAGGCGTAAATTGTATGTCAAATTGTTTGACAAAAATAGAAAAGAAATTAGTGGGAATATAATAATAACAATTATAATAATAATAATAATAATAATAATAATAATAATAATAATAATAATAATAATAATAATAATAATAATAATAATAATAATAATAATAATAATAATAATAATAATAATAATAATAATAATAATAATAATAATAATAATAATAATAATAATAATAATAATAATAATAATAAAATAATAATAATAATAATAATAATAATAATAATAATAATAATAATAATAATAATAATAATAATAATAATAATAATAATAATAATAATAATCATAATAATAATAATAATAATAATAATAATAATAATAATAATAATAATAATAATAATAATAATAATAATAATAATAATAATAATAATAATAAATAATAATAATAATAATAATAATAAAATAAAATAATAATAATGATAATAATGATAATATTTTTAATAATTATAATAATCATAATAATAATAAGTAAAAAAACTGTACGTTCGGCCGGGCCGAACCTCTCTCCACCATTTGGAACGAATTTGGCAATTCTTACAAACAATACAAACCGTTAATAATTCTGATAAAATCTTAAAAATTCCGAATGTAGCTATTATTTTATGGTCTACACGAAGACATGAACCTGCGTAGGTAACATTTGTCATAAGCCATTACAATATTCAAATGTGAAACTTAAAATAAATCGGTTATAATGTCGATAAAATCAAAATACCGAATATTGGGAGGTATCGTTATATGGGGGCCTTACGAAGAGGTGGACCTTCACAGACAATTTTCTGTTTTAGCCTGTAGTATCCATTACGAATTTCAAATACCAAATTTGAAACTACTTCGGTGAATAATGTCACTAAAAATCATCAAAATACCGAATATCGGGAGGTACCGTTGTATGGGGCTATACCAAAAAGTGGACCTACATGGCCCATTTTCAATATCAAAAGTCCTGCAGACATAACATATATTCGAGCAAAATTTTATCAATCTATTTCAATTCATTCGGAAGCTATTAATAATAATAATAATATTTCGAGGTTACAAATTTTGTACTATTGGGGTAAAATTTTGATTTGGGTGAACTGATAGAGATGGAATTCGGAAATTTAGAAATAAGATTACTATTGCATTCTAGAACTGAGGAATGTAGATAGTTTTGAAAATTCGTACTTATGTGTACTAAATGGTACTACATTTTATACAATTTAAATTTTGGATGAACCGGTAGAGTTAGAATCCTGAAATTTGGAAATAAGATTACTGTCGGAGTGTATGATGTAGGTATATCACTGGAGAAGTGTAGCTTAGATGTACCTAAGGGTTTTTAAGAAAATTTAAACCGAATGTGTAAAAGTACTAAAATTACTAAATCACAAAAAAAATATGTATTGTATATGGAAATCGAAGTTGGAAGAGGTTTTTAAAATGTATACTCATGTGTACCAATCGTACTAAATGGTACTTAATTTGGTACAATATTCGTTTAGATTAGTGGTTGATGGTGAAATGTGGAAATTCAGTATAAAGTTGAGATAAAGAGGTCGTTCTGGAAATACCTACAAAAATTGCAACGAAACGTACTAAATAGTACCTAAATTGCCATAGAATGTACATATAGACGTTAGTACGAAAAGTACTAAATAGGATATAAAACGTAGGACAAGATCTGCAATTGTGAATTTTTATATATCACTTTGATTTTATAGCATTTACAAATAAGCCAACTTAATAGTGTTCAAATAGTACTAATGGTTCCATAGATTGGAATATAGATTAGGGCTCTAGACATCAATGTTTTCGCATGACCCCATACAACGGGAGTTGATGTTTTTTCAATAGAATTGTTTGAAATTAGCTGTTTGAAGCTTGAAATCAGACCATCCCCTCTGTTGACAAATTCTCTATATAGGTCCGGGCTTTCGTAAAACTTTCATATCTCTCGTCCGACAGTCTCTATGTTGATGATTTTACTCATATTTTAATATACGTTGAGTATTGGACTTTCATAGCATTGTGTTATATTTTAAAATACCATTAAAAATAGAAAAATAGGAATTATTTACTATGTGTGAACTTATTTGCAAAAGCAGATCTCAAAAAAAAATAATAATAATAATTAAAAAAATAAATAAATAAATAAAAAATAAAAAAACTTGCAACTTCAAATGAAGATTTGCTATTTAATATAAAAATTCCAATTATAATTTTCTTAAAATATATTTCCAAATATATAATTTATCCAAAGACTTATAGTACAAGCTAGTGTAGAATATTTCTTTTTAGACAATTCATGTCTAAAACAAATTTTTTTGTTACTTTTATGCATCAACTCGAAAAAAAAAGAAAAAAAAAGCCCAATGCAAAAATAAATATTTCATTTTTTTTTAAATTGAAGCAATTTTTTTTGATAAATAATGGAAAATTTTGATTATCTGTGAAATTTTATGCAGAGTACTTTTGTCTTTGACGTCATCCTTACAAAATTAAGTTTTGTTGGAGCATTTTGCATGAACTCATATAAAATACGACTTTAATCTTGAAATATGTTTTTCTGATGTATTCTGAGACTCAAAGTAATTTTTTATAAAAAAAAAAAACAATTTTTTAGAATATTTTAAATTGTTGGGAGTTTTTAACCATTTTTTGAAAAAAAGTATTTCTTGACCAAAAAATGTTTGTATTTTTATCGACAATATTGTACTAGACAATATATACCTAAAAACTATGGATTTCAATGTAAATTAGAAAATTTCTAATAAAGTGGAAGAATGAATTTTTATCCCTCAACTATTAACTATTTTGCAACAATAAAATACTACGGTATCCCGAGCAAACATACCAACACTTTACTTTGCAATATAAACTTCCAAAATGCCGAAGGACATTATCCGAAAATAAAACATACTTTTTATTTACCATCAGTTCTTTACATCCAAAAATAGATATTCGAGATATTTGATTGATTAGCTTCGTTTTACAAAGTTAAAAAAAAAACACATCTTTTAATAAATTCTCTAGAAAACCCACGCCTTCCATTTAAACTTTCTGCAAAGCAATATTAGAGTTAAAACTTTATAAAATCCGAATTATCTCTTTCGACACTTGTTCACCGGAAACATAACACGATTAAGCTTCTGCACCTCCCCAAGGACGTCACACCATAAAAATAAATAAAAAGAAAACTTCAATTTTCCAAGGATAGAAGGCAAGGACATAACTTTGTTGTTTCCGACTTAAATTAGTTTTCCATCACAATATGTTACGCTTAATGTGCCCCCAAACACACGCTAACGCATCCCCCCAAAACTAGCTGGCAGTGAACTTCAGCATGTGTAAAACACACATATATTTATATCCTTGAACAATAGCAGCAACGTTGGCTTTTGGAAAATACTTGGTTTTATGTTTTTTTTCGGTATTTTATTTATTTTTATTTCTATTTTTTTCTATTTCAAATCTGACTTCAGTGGTAGTGGCAAGGGATTCGATTCAATAAAACCAAAAACAATTCTCAAGAAATCCAACCAAAGCACTGGAGTATAAGACCAATGTCGCATTGTCTTGGAACTACATGTGCGGACAAATGTGGCATTTAATCGTCGTAGTCTCGATGTTGATTGTTTCGGTGGGTGGGTGTTTCGATTCGTTCATTTGCTCTCTCCTATGGTTTGGAATTCCAAAGAACATGGACGTTTTATTGTTAGAATAGAAATTGAATACTCGACCCAGGTGCTCATAGGTCCTCTCATTGAAGACCAAAAGGTCTCTTATAGAAGACCATGAGTTCTTCTCACAGAAGACACATGAGACATGGTCTTCTATGAGAAGACCATGAGGTCTTGTCATAGGTCTTCTGTAGGTCTTCCCATAGAAGACCTGTAGGTCTTCTCATAGAAGACCTGTAGGTCTTCTCATAGAAGTCCTGTGGGTCTTCTTATAGAAGTCCTGTAGAAGATCATGAGGTCCTCATAGGTCCTCTTATTGAAGACCAAAAGGTCTTCTTATAGAAGACCATGAGTTCTTCTCACAGAAGACACATGAGGTCTTCTCATAGAAGACCATGGGGTCTTCTCATAGAATACCATGAGGATTTCTCATAGAAGGTCATGAAGTCTTCTCATAGATGACCTGGAGGCCTTCTCATAG